GGATCCCTAAGCTAAACCTACAGCTAAAAACACATAAACCAGGCAAACAAATATAACCCATCGTCGACTTCAAAAATTCAGTCCTATAAAATTTAGAAAACAATTAAAACGAAAATTGCAAAAGTATAAAATTCGAAATACTCCATCAAACACGCAGACGAACTTTTACATGACATAGAAAATATAAAAATCAACAAAAATTACAGACCTCCAAGCTTAGATATAGTAAACATGTACGTTCGATAACCTGGAATCTAATGGAAAGTACTGTACACTAGAAAAATTGAAACAAAAAAGAAGAAATTGATTTAACAGAATTCGTATACAAGAGTAATTATTTCGAAGTCGACAGTAAGTTCTACACACAACAAACAGTTATAAGCATGAAGTCAGTCATAGGACCGAAGCTAGCAGAACTTGTTATGGTAGATATAGATCAGTGTTTCTCAACCTCTAACGAATCGTCGCCCCCTTCAACGTAGTATCGCCCCCTTCAATAAAACCGTTACCTATTATCGCCCCTTTCACTTCAAAATTCTGATGCCGAGGACCAAGACTAACGCCAAATTCGTACTGCATTGAATAGACTTGTGACTAGTATAATGTTATTTGTTTAATTATTGTACGATATAACGAATAAAATATCTAATTATTCTTAATATAATGTTTTTCTATATCGCCCAAAAAATTGTTTTCCGCCCCCCAAAATATAAATTGTTACTAATCGCCCCTTCAACATGGAAAAACGCCCACATGGGGGCGATATCGCCCCCGTTGAGAAACACTGATATAGATCAAGCAATCAAACAAATTACAGGCATAAAGTTCTATAAACGACATGTGGATGACATAATTATACTATACGACCAAGAAATAATAAAATTAAGATAAAAAATAAACAAATTAAATGATAATATTAAATTTAAGGTAGGAAATGAGTCAAACACAAAAAAAACAACCTCGACATTAAAATAACCAGAAAGGCAAAGAAGATTGAATTCGAGCCATACACAAAACCATGTGAGATTAGAAAAGTGTTAAACTACAATTCAAACATCCCACTATACAAAAAAGAAAACATATTCATCGTGGAGTATAAAAAAAATCGAGAACAGAACAAGCTCGCTACAGAAAAAGAAAAAACATCTTAACGAACTGCGAACTAAATTCATATTAATTATAGTTTGAGTAACATTTTAGATTAAACGAAAAAATAAACACACATCGAATACAAAGTACATCGCGTGTTTCATAAACAAAATAATTTTAATTAAATCTTTTTCATTTATCTCAAGAAACGATAAATTTCTTTCAATATATACTGTATGTTTCGGAATTTCATGCATACGAAAAAATTTGCGGTTCTCTCTTTTAAAAACGGAAATTTAAATGAAACAATAATGTAAGATTTGTCTATACACCTGTATTATAACATGAAATAACAGAATGAAAATATGAGAGGTTTTGTTTTAAAAGATTACTTTAAGAAAACAACATACTAATTATTTGTATTACAAAATTTTAATTATTATCGAAAAAATAATAATAATACATACCAGAAAAATATACGAGAGAAAACACTAACTGTATCGAATGGGTTACTTTTCTCTTTCCTCTCCATTTTCTACTAATTTCTGCTGTCTACAATTTTCTGTACACTGCATCTGTTGAATTACTCATCAAATCTGGAATTCTATCAGATAATATATAATATTTATTTTAAAGTGTAAAGGTTTAGTGTGTTACTTGTGTTCAGAAAACCTTGAAGTTTCGTCAAGATGTAAAAACAGTAAAATTATGTTTTAAGAAAGATATAAATTTGTCATTGATATAATTTAAACTTAAATTTTTTATATATATTAAAACAGTACATATATATGCAAAAGAAAAATTATCTGAAGATTGATAAATAAATAAAAATTAATTACTTTTTATAGTAAAAGTTTTGTAATGAATTCCTTAACTTTTCGGCAGAAAAACACTAAGACATATTTTAACATAAATTTAAAATTTTATGCTGTACTATATGATATAAGTTAGTGTTATATAAGTAACCGTTATACCATTATTTATGATAATATGGCAACAAGCTTAATTATAAGGATAGAGATAGGTTTTTATTAGACAAAATACAAATTCTAGCAACGAGAAAATCTTGACTAAATGTAACCCCCTCGACGTAAGAACGACATCCCTTATCTTTCCACCCCTTCGACCTTTAACCACTAAGATGTAAGAGCGACGATTTCCGTTATATACAAGCTAACTTGCCAAATTTCGTTTTTTATCATTATTTCATCTCGAGATATGAGAAATATTAGACGAAATAGACAAACCAACACACGTACAGTACGTGTGCGCAAATGTATATATATATATATACGTAAGTGTGTATGTATATATATACACACAAACTTATCCCCGAAATATTTTTTTCGCTTATTCCGTTTTACTTCCCGGCTGTAAGGTCAGACTTAACGAAGATTGTACTCGTTATTAGAATTTACAGTTTTTTATAAAACTTATCTCTACTCTGAAAATTAAACCTTTTGCCATTTTATAATAGTTAAAAATATAAAAAGTTTTTAATAAAATATCACAACAAATGGCACAATGTACAATTTTAAGCATTTTTGCTGGGAAATTTATGAAACATGTTAGATTTTTATCTTTGCTTTTAAATAAAAATATAGTATAGTATAATATATATATTTTTTATTGCACTATATATAGTTTTTACTCAAAATTTTGTATTTATTAAATTTATTTAAAGTAATAAAAGAATTTTATATAAGTACTACATTTCATAAAAATATATTATCTGTAAATAAAATAAAATGTACTTTCTTTTCTGGAGTTTTATCAATTTTATTATTTGTGTAGTAGTATTTTTGAGCATGTAATGTTTATCTTCAGGTACAATTTTTATGATGTAGAGAAAGCAAGTATATTTTATTCTATTTCATAAAAAGTTATAGTACCTTAAAACAGACATCTTAGTTTTTATAATCAGAAATATTTTAAATTTTATAAATATGAAAAAATAAATAAATTTTGAAAATATAAAAATAAAATTTTTATTGAAGCAATTCACTCAACTTTGTGACATTTTCTAGTTACATTAACTTGGTCGTATATTGAAATGCTCCAATATGGATCATTTCCTGTAAAAACATCTAATGAAAATATAAAACAAACTTACTCTTACTAAATCCCTTACTAATTTCATTTTCTTGAGCAGGAGGCAGACAACAATGAAACGTGCATAGTAACGGAGTTTTTTTACCATAAGATCTGATCTGAAAAAATATTAAATATATATTAAAAATATACGTTTATAAATTCAATCATAATTCCAAACTATTATACTGAAAATCACATAAAATATATGCATTGCAAGTCTATTCTGATTACTGCAAATAAATAAACATTACCTTTCTTCTTTACTCGCTTTACTATAATAACCTCTGGCACGAATTGCTGCATAAAAAGAAAACGTCTCATTCAGATAGTTTGTTTCACTTGTTCTCAAACTGAAATAAAAATTTTTATGAATATTACATATCATTTTTTAAATTTTATACATAAATCTAATGGTAATTAAAATGACAATTCTTACTAATAATGGTAATAAAGTTGGCCTATTTTAGAGGCAATCTCTCCTATTTGCCATCGTTTCAAGCCATATTTTGAATCCAAAATTTGTCTGTAAAAATAAATTAATACATAAATATGTTTGAAATGAAAAAAATAAACACTATTTTTAATTGAACAAAGTAAATTATTTTTCTGAAATATAGAAGTGTGTGTTCTACTAATTTTATTCAGAATACAAAGTATTGGTAGCAAAACCACTTATCATTAATTAAATTTTTTCCCAAGAGAAATAAAACAAACAGAATTCATTATTTATTTTGGTAAAGTGTTTTTCATTAGAGAATTATCATAAAATATTAANAATCAAATGATAGAGCCAGATTACCTATTATATTAAAACTTATCTAATTAATTATACAGATATCTGTATTATAATTAATCACATATCATCTATATATTGGGTTGTTCGGAAAGTAATTTCGATTTTTTATTACTAGAGGAATTACATGTATTTTACCAGCCAATTTCATTTTAAACCACATTTTCATTATATATTTTGACAGCTGACATTTAAAGGCTTATTTGTAAAAAATTTTGTTTGGTTCTGTACAATTTTTTTTTCTTCGGTGTCCCATCAAATATGGAAAATCGACAGCATCATTTTCAGCATATTTTATTTTTTTATTACCAAAAAATCAAAAATGCTGTTCAAGCAAGAAAAAAATTGTGGTACATGTATGGAGAAGATGCGTTGAGAGAAAGACAATGCCAAAACTGGTTTACAAAATTTCGTTCTATCCTTCAATATTCACCACCTTCTGGATAGCCAGTTGAAGCCAACAAAAACAAAACAAAGGTACTGATTGAAGCAAACTGCCGAATAACAACACGTGAAATCACTAAGAGATTAAATTTGTTGAATTGAACTGTTTATGATTACTTGAAACAAACTGGTTTCATTTCAAAGCTTGATATATGAGTTCCATATGTTCGTAAGGAAATGCTCTCTTTGGTGAGATTTTAAGGAAATTTTTTTTTGAGCTTTTACCAGACAATTTAACGATTAATTCGAAAGCGTACTGCCATCGAGTATACAAACTGAGTAATATCATCAAACAGAAAAGGCATCCAGAACTGATCAACAAAACAGGTGTAGTGGTTTACGATGATAATGCCAAATTTCACACAAGTTTGGTAACTCGTCAGAAACTGTTACAGTTTAGATGGGATGTGCTATCACATCAACCATATTTGCTAGATCAGGCACTCTCAGATTATTACTTGTTCCGGTCTTTATAAAATTTTTTAAACTGTTAGACGTTTACTTGAAATGAAAATGTCAAAAATTACTTGGATCTGTTTTTTTCGTAAGCAAACATCAAAACTTTTATAAATGTGGAATCATGCTACTACCAGAAATGATGGCCAAATATTTGACCAAAATGTTCAATAAATAATTCAATAAAATATTTATTTATTATAAAAATATTGTTTTTTTTTTGCCACGGAAAAAATGAAATTACTTTCCAAACAAACCAATAATTAATTTGCCAAGTTCTAGTCTGATAGTTAATCTGGTTCTATCATTTGATTATTAGTATAATTCGGGCTTGGTTTTCTATATAATTAATTCTTATTATTCTTATATTAACTCTCAATGTAATCTTAAAATACACTAGCAGATCCTGCCACATGATGTTGTGGCTCAAAATGTATCTATTATAAATGTATAACACTTTCCCCATGGGAAGAAATTTTTTGAAAAATCCCTTTTTAGTGTATATTCTGTTGATGTACCCTATTAAAATGCAATCAAAAACGCAAAAAACCACATCTAAAATAGTATAATAGAAGCCAACTTCTTCATGGTAAGCCTTAATCCTAACAATCTCCCACCAGTGGGGGGAATTTCGACACGTATATTATATAAAAACATGTGCGTATTCGAATACAACGTTGTGTCAAAATTTCAAAAAAATTGGTAAGAACAAATGAAAATTACATTTTTATTTATATAGATAGATAGAAGATGATCTGCTTTAGTTCATCCTCACAGAAAAGCAAACTTAGGTCACCATACTTGTAGCATCATCTGTTGGACATAAAAGCCTTAACCTAGATGATATCTTTTAATTTATATGAATGTTTACCGGAATAATATACAGCCTATGTCCACCCTGAAGTTCCATTCTAAATATTGGCAAAAGAATTTTTGAAATCGGATGAGTAGTTTTGAAGATTACCTGCTACATCCAAACTTACAAACATTACCTCTTTATAATATTAGTACAGATTAAAAAAATGGTAATATATCATCACAATAATATTTTTAAACAAACCTGTAATAAATTTCAATCAATCCTTGATTTTAGTTAAAAAAACTTCTTTTACATTATTAAATTTCTATGAAAATATCAGCAATTCTGTCTTTATTTCACTGTGTTAGTTTTAAATATCATTTATTTATAACTGATTTAGAAAAATAAGATTATTCAATGTATTGAAAAAATTATGATATTCATTGGTACAATTATAAATAAGATAGATATTTAGAGATTTAACTTCCTAATTATACTGAAAAATAAATAACAACAACAAAGACTAAAAATTTAAGAACATTTATTAATTTCTATTTTGTAATTTGTAGATTAATTAACTAATCGAATAATTATTGGATTAGTTAATCTTAACATGAGCCTTAAACTTCAAAAATATTAAAAGTTACTTTTGAAAAAGTTTTCTAAACAGATAAAAAATGTTGCAAGCACTCTAACATTTATATTATTTTAAAGTAAATTATGATTATGTAATTGCTGATGGGTTATATTTATTTTTAAACTAATAATCACTGAGTTTTTTCTAAATGATAAAATCAAATAATTTAATAAAATTTACCAATATTTCGAGACCTAGTGAGTAAACGACTAGCTTCACTCATAAATCGATCCATATGGCTTTGACCTTTCTCCCAGAGTGTTATAGGAATATCCACAATATTGCATATAAAACATAATGCCGTTAATGGACTATGAAGAAACAGAGTAAACAGACTGCCATTGTGCTGTTGATCTAAAAGTGTTTTTAAGTTTTTTTTTAAAAAAATTATACATTTAATATTTAAAAAAAAAAAATACATTAAAGAAGTGTACTGAAGCAATTACCACGGAAGGCAGCTGGTACATCTTCGGGTGACATCAGTACCACCACAGGTTGTCCAAAATAACGAGGTATGTGTTGGAAGGCATGACTGTTATCACTGTCGACAATCAGTAATAAAGGTTTACGGGTATAAGGATACAGATCGCCTGGGAATAAACTGGAGGGGAAAAAATTTTGAAATAAGTACTTTTTTGTAAAATTTTTAAAATAAAATAATAAATCCTTACCAATGCATATCTTTCAACTGAATATTTCTTTTATTTGCATGATCTGGTTCACGCTTACTGTTGGTGGCGACACCTCCATAATCGTAACCCACTAAAAAAGTTGAGATTAATATTTATAAATGTAATAATGATACAAACTAATAAAGTAATGAAATTTAAAAAATATTTCTTTATAGTTGAACTGACAATAAGATTTGTTAGACTTTAAAAACATTAAATACATACTGTCATCAGGATGTTTAATATTAGAAAAACTTCCATCAGCTGATAAATATAATAATAATACACCATTTGGCGGAAGTTCTTTAAATCCTGATGCCAAAAACACAAATAATTGACTGAAAGTTGGTTTATACAGAAGATATTTGTGTGGATTTTCACGCTTCAGAGGTCTTTGTTCACCGTTTTCTGGCTGTAAACAATAATTTATATAAATTTACACAAACAAGTTTTAAAACTGATTAATCATAAGTATAACATTACAAAAGGCAATCTTCCAGGTGCAGGAGAGGCATCATACAATTGTGTAGTGTCTTCTTGGGGTTCTCTTTCTAAAGTTTGTAGCATACGAAACATATCTAAAGTAAGTTCGCTAAATTTTACCTGAAAATTCAATTTATATTTTTAATTTATTTAATTCTTGTGAAATTAAACAAAATTATAATAATAATTAACTTAAATTTATATGTTATAACTTATTTATCATCAAATAACATTAAAAGAACATAAATTGTATGTTTCAATTAACTTTTTAAAAAAAAATAAGCAATGACTATCTTGTGAATAAATACATAAATTTTTGGGTATTTATTCACAAAATATTTACTAATTATTATTTTATTTTTTTGGTGA